ACTTACCGAGCTTGGTGAGGCGATCGCTGAGCATACTAACCGACAAATCTGGAGCCAAAAACGAAAGAATCAAGAGGGGAACTGCGTCGTCGAACACATCTGCGTCGAACTCCTGGTGTGACTCCACCCGCTCCTTGGTGACTTCTAGCTCCGCCTTGAACTTGCACACAAGATTGTCTGCAGCCTGCTCAGCTCGAACACGCAGTTGCCTCCTGGCTGCCGTGCGAAACGAAACCATTGTCTCCCGCCACGTAGAAGGGCGGGTCCCGCAGCCATTGAACATCTCTCCAGATCCAGGCAAAATGAGCTACAGCTCGAGCGGAGATGTTGGGGAGAAGCGGCATGAGCCAAAATGGCTACTGAGTTTCTCCTCCTTCTCCTCCTCCTCCTCCTCCTCCTCCTCCTCCTCCTCCTCCTCCTCCTCCTCCCCCTCCGCCTCCGCCTCCTCCTCCTCCTCCTCATCCTCCTCCTCCTCCTTCCCTCCTGCTCCTCCCCCTGCTCCTCCTCTTCCTCCTCCACCTCTTCCTCCGCCCCTCCTCAAAACGCCTGCCGTGGCGGCACCGAGCCCATCGCGCGTCCGAGCTGCCGCGCGGGCCAGCACACCCAGCGGGCGACGCACGGGGAGCTGGGGGGCAGTCCTGGTCAGCCTGGTGTATGCCTCCGCGCCGCACGGCAGGAGGAACAGACGGAGTACCACGCAAAGTGGAACTCCCGGAGGAGGAGAGAGGGAGGGAGGTAGGGAGGGAGGGAGGGAGGAGGGGGAGGAGGAGGGAGGAGGGGAGGAGGAGGAGGAGGGAGGATGGAGGAGGGAGAGGGAGGGAGGAGGAGGAGGAAGAGGAGGAGCAGGAGGAGGACGAGGAGGAGGAGGAGGAGGAGGAGGAGGAGGAGGAGCGCACCGCCTTCGAGGGAGCCCGTCCAGGTGCAGAAGATGCCCCCCCCGATAAGGGGGCTAGAGCCTTCCCCGCCGAAGAGTAGCAGCCGCCCCCAGACATCTCTGGAGGGCACAGCGCGGGCAGCGGACCGCCCGGCGATCGCTCTGGCGCGAGCTCGGATCATGCTGTCCTCGACTGGGCCCTGGCGGTCTTGCACCAGGAAGAGGGGGAGGAGGAGGAGGAGGAGGAGGAGGAGGAGGAGGAGGAGGAGGAGGAGGAGGAGGAGGAGGAGGAGGAGGAGGAGGAGGAGGAGGGAAGGAGAGAGGAGGGGGCCGGGGGAGAGGGCGTCCCCGTGACATCCCGTGACCCTACTGTTAAGTGCACTCGTTGCTAGTGATTTGCTGACAGACTGTAGGTGGTTTCGTGGATCGGGCGAGGGTCAGCCAAACTGCCCTTTCAGACGACAGCAGTGACGTTTCCGCGAGGGCCGCACGCGCTGATGAACGTAGGCGTTCGCCATTGGCATCGACGACCATCGGAAGCTCGCCTTCTGTAGTGGGAGTCCACAACTACGGTGAAGCACACCAGCCGCTCGACAACTCGCAAGTGCTTGGACTGTCACGGCTACAGAGAAGCACGGCGAGAGGAACGACTGCAAGTACCCCCTGCTGGTCAAAGGGATCTTACGTTGGATGCCCCGCCAGCCATGCCGCGGGCTGCCGGCATTGCTTGCACGCTGGTCGGAAGAAGCAGGTAGAAACATGAAGTGGGAAGGGGGACAACGTAGGTTGGGTCCAGGCCGTCCCAGGGGAGCAACCAAAGGCAGCAAGAGCAGGACGATGCTTGATGTGGGAAGGCGTTTGGAGTAGATTTGGATCTGGGAGTTCAACAAATCCCTGCGGACTCAGACCCACGTCAGCATCGTCGTCGTCGTCGTCGTCGTCGTCGTCGTCGTCGTCCCCCTTCAGGGTCAGCGGCACCGGCCGGAAGGCCTTCGCAAGACCTCTTCGAGCGACCGACGGGCGCGCTCGGTAGGAGCGTGCGGTGCCGGAGCCAACACCCCGCGGGCTGCCGGAGCGCCCGCGCTCGGCACGGAGTGCGGTGCTGCAGCCCTCGCCGTGGGTTGCTGGAGCGCTCGCGAGCAGCACTCTGAAGGGGGGGGGCGGTTAGCCTTCCGACTGAGCTTGCTCAATCCCGCCCCCTCCGTCCTCCTCCCCCTCCTCATCCTCCTCCTCTTCCTCCAACCCCCCTTTCACCCGTGACGACAGCACGTGCCCAACCCCCCCAGCGGAGGATTCAAGGGGGGGGCGATGGTTGCCCCATCCAGAATACATCTGCAGCGCTGGAATCAACGCCGTGGGCTGCTGAAGCCAACATCCTTCGTGCAATGTGGGTGCTGTAACACGCGCAGCTTGCTGTTCGACCGCTCGCGCTCAGCTACAAAATGCGGTGGTGAAGCCCACCCTGCTCGTCGGCACAGTCTACTGGAACGACTTTCCCTCGTCAACCTTGGGGCGCTGGAGCCCACGCCGTGGGCTGCTGGACTCACTGCCCCCCGTAAGAGTTGGACGCTGGAACCTGCCCTTTGCGTCGGCCCAAGCTGCTGAAGCAACTTCCCCTCGTAAAGA